GTGGTCCGGGAGGGTGACGCTGTGGTGGTCGAGCTGAGCCGCGCGGCCACTTACCTCTGCAGAGGCAGCAGAGCAGGATGTGGAGCACCAAAGCCTCGCCGGACCCCACCATGGCCTGGGCTGCGGCCGCTGCCCGCGTGTGGCATAGTCTGGAGGGGGAGAAAAGGTGGGAGGTGTTCCCCCGACCGCATCGCTGCCCAACGCGACCGGGTCTGCCCTCGCCCCGGGATGCTCAGGGACCGCCCCGGGGGCGGCGATGGGGATGCACGGGGAGGTTTTCGTTGGGGATTTGGGGTCAGGGCGGGTCGTGTCGGCGGTGGGAGCGGGGGGAGAGGGGGACAGGCACACAGGGCTCAGCATTTCGGGTCACGGGCAGCCCAGTGTCCAGCCCTAGCGAGAAGCCCCATGGCCGCTTTCCCCGAGCTACCACCTCGGGTGACATTTCTCTTCATTTTCCCGCCTGCGAAATGTCTCCAAATCCTTTCCTTTTACGGGTGTGTACGTTCGTGCGGTTTTTGGTACCCCACAGGTGGGACGGCCTCACCCCCAACCCTCCTGGAAACCAGTTCCCAACACGTGTGGGAGGACCGGGAGGCGATGGGAGCCGTCAGCGTGGGTTTACGAAAGGGAAATCATCCCTGAGCGCCCCGAGAGATGCCCTCGGTCTATACGGTGGGTGAGGGGCGTGCGGGGGATGCTGCCTCTCTCCATCCTGCCCTCTGCGCAGCCCTGGGGAGACCCGGATGGGGTGGTGGGTCCAGGGATCCCATCTCCCCAGGACAGGAGAGACGGGGACAGAGCGGAGTGAGTCCAGCAAAAGGCCGCAGAGATGCCGGAGGGTCTGGAGCACCTGAGATGGGAGGAAGGGCTGGGAGAGGGGTTCAGCCTGGAGAGGAGGGGGCTCAGGGGGGTCTTGTCCCCGGGTAGAGATGTCTGATGGGGGAGTAGAGACGAGGGAACCCCGGGGACAGGACAAGAGGCAATGGGCTCACGTTGAAAATCAGGAAATTCTAGTTAAACAGAAGAAAAAGCACTCTAAGGGTGACTCAGCCCGGGGCCGGCTCCCCTGAGGGGTTGCCCTGGAGTCTCCAACCCTGGAGATACTCAGACCCAACCGGCCAGAGTTTTGTGGGACAGAAACTTCCCCTGGTTCCCTGACGCCTTTCCCACCCCAGTGCTGCGGCGGGTCCTGCCCGAGTTGAGCGATGACCCTTCTCGGCCCCGAATCAGCCCCAAAATCCCAGACAAGGGCATCCCCTCTCTCTCCGAGGAGCCGCGCTCCCGTCTGCATCCCACGATCTTGCCTGAATTTTGCCCTGCTCACCTCTCCTTCCTCCCCGGCCTCTCTGGTCTCACACCGCCGCTCCCCAGGCCAACCCCGCCGTCGGTCGGTGGGCGCCGAGCAGACCCCTACCGTGGCCCGACACCCCCCGAAAATTTGCGTGCACGGCGCCGAAAACCGAGCGAAGCCCCGCACCGCCGCGGTTTTCTTTTTAAGCCGGCAAGAATTAAAATAACCCGCTACAAAACCTGACGTTAGAAAGGGCGAGTTTTCCTAGAGGGACGCACCGAACCAAAGTCGGCTGGAAAAGCTTCAAAATGACGTTGTTCAGCCCAAACCAGGCTGCTGCCTACAGGTAATGCTTTTATATTTCTCCTGCGGCGTGAGCCGACCTCGTTTGTCTTAAGGGCCGTTCAAGCGTTCATAATGAGTCAAATTTCAAGCGCCTTTCTGTTACCTGACCCACCGAGAGGAGAACTTGACGGCCTCCTGATTGCCCGCCAACCTTCCGCAAGTTAGAACGAATAGAAAAGAAAAAAGAAAAAAAAAAAAAAAACAACTAAGAGAGAAAACCTCATGGTCTATGAAAAGAGCTGAAAATACAACAAATCTGCCACGGCTGCCGGCACTAAAACATGATTTCAGGCTCTGCCTCCTCCGGGGATGACTCCTGGTCGCATTTTTATTCCGATTTACAGCCGTTTGCAAACTCCAAAGCCGGGAGGAACCAGACTGTTCCCCTTCTCGAGAGATACGGGTCTTTGATCCCATCTCTGTTTAAAATTCTCCTCGTCCGTTAGCGCTAAAGGGATGCGAAGCGCGTGAAGAAGAAGGAAAAAAAGCCGTCCCGCTCGTGCGAGCCCCGAACCCTGCGAAATCTTTACCGGCGACGCCTGTCAGAAGCGGCTAACGCGTACAAGCACCAGCCGAAAAAACACCCGCTGGGATTATTATTAT